GAAATAAGTGTTACATCTAGTGTGATAAGATCCGTGTACCAACACCTCAGAGACGACACGTGTTCTTTAGACGTTATATATTTTTATGGCGCGCTTCAAAATGTTATTTACAGGTTGAAAGGACCGATTTTCAGCTTCCCCATTCGCAATATTCAGCCTCGCCGCTCGCTACACGTATATTTTCATTTCGGATTAGACGCCGCGGCGGCCATTTACCCAGCGATTTAATTTCCGATTTTGTTGTCAATTTAAAATTTGGTATTGCTCACAACTTCGCTCGCGTGAATTAAAAAATATATACCCTATTATTTCACGATATATTACTGATAACGTAGCTTTTTAATGGTGAACGAATATTTGAAATCGGCACCAGTAGTTTGATTTATTTCAATACCTACAAAAATAAAAATCTTTCCTCTTTATAATGTTACTAGCTGTTGCTCGCGACTTCCCCCACGTAAAATTAAAAAATATACCTTAAGATACTAATAACATCACGTGTTAACGGTGAACGAATTTTTGAAATCGACTCAATTTTTGAGTTATTTCAATACAATAAAAATCCAAAAATACAAATCTCTTCCCTTAATAATATTAGTAAAGGTTAATAAAAGATTGTAGTTAGGATTGATAAATAAAAAACAACTTTAGTGCCTCAAACGTGCTTTATTCAGAAACTGGGGGAACTTTACCCGAAACGGCCAAAACCAATAATCAAACTATAATCGGAGAAAGGAGTTATTTTAATAGAATTTAATGAGTATACAAAACATTGATTGCTCTAAAGGATATACAAGCAAATGGTTAAAATGCTATATTAAAGAAGCATCTATTATTTGATTATTGGTTTTGGTCGTAAGACTATGTACAGCGGCCATTTCCATTGGACTTAGTAGCGTCAGCAAAAAAAAAATAAAACCATGGAGTACAATTCCATAATTTACATCTAAGTATCTTAAACTAGATTATCGAATTTAATTTGTACACAACACTTAAAGTACAAACTCTTGTCAATCTTTTTACATGGTCGATTGTTGTATTGTTTTAAAGTTATAGTTCGACGAAGTTCTCTGACCCGGTAGGTATAAGCCAAACTCAATGATGACAGCTCACTAACGCCCTTTAAATGTCACAGGATCCTTATTGTAGCTGTCATCATTTATTTCCTTTTATATTTTTTACTTATATAGTTTTTATATGACAGAAATAACTGCAATAGCACTTCTCCCGGACCAGATAAGCATGTTGAACTATACTAATTGAGTTTTATTTAAGAAAAAGTTCTTAGATAAGAAATAAAATGACAAGTACAATGTACGAATATCGAGTCTGTCACACAAAATGAAATTAACAATTTTTACAAATAAAAATCATTGACCCATGTTTACAGAATAACAAGTTAGAATAAATTGTTTGCTATCGTACACATTTTCCAGAAAAAAAAAACATTAAAAGTACAACACACATTAACTGAGTTACAAGAAGTTGAGTTTAAGCTTATTGACATCCATTAAACAAAAACTTCACATTATGTTAAAAGCGAAAATCGAAAAAAAACATTTTCTTCACATCGACATATTAATTGCGCCAAAAAAATTGCTACCATTTTTCGCAAGCAAATTCTTAAACAAAAATATCAAGTGATGCAAATAAAAATTCGCTTTGAGAGAATCACATAATTCATTAAACTAATATCTACAAAATTACAAACTTAACTAGAAACAAAAAAGAGGAGAAAAAAATAAACAACAACATTGAATTTAAAAATAATCACGAATCCCTTTTATCTATATTAAGAACTTAAAATTACAAAGTTTTAAACACCCAAAGAAAAAAATACAAAATGTACCAAACAAAATGTTTACAGCGAACATAATAATCCCATAATTAAAATCAAATTTGATTAAATCGTCTACCACTATTCACTTGCTAAAAGCTAGACCGTCCATTACACCGAAACGTAACATTAAAACGAAAATCTATGAATAGTAAGATGTAAACTCGAACACAGCCAATGTTAAAATTAATTAGTATTTATGAAAATAACACGTCAAGTAATATTCAAAAGAAAAATACAATTAACTCCACTTTTATTTCATTTATTTACTTAAGCAAAATAGGCTTAATTGAAAACAAATCTTAAAAAACAGAACGTTCATTATCGAAACAAAGCGAAGTGTAAAAGTTTCTGGTTTAAAAATAAAACTAAATTACGTATCGGTGTGAGAGGCGGAATTATTAATGTTTTTAAAATGTCTTAATGCACCTGATATTTCGATTTGTGAGTGAGTAAAAGTGCTTAAAGCGTAGGCGTTTTTATCCGAACTGTTTTAATAACATTTGTTAGCATTGTCTGTTAAATAATAAACTTCATATTGAATACTTTTACGTTAATATGTAAATGCAAAAACCATACTGTAAGAAAACATAATACTAAAAGTATTAACAAAGTACTCGTATATATTGATCAACCTTAATATAAGGTGACCGACGCACTATGCGGTTGATGAAACGCGTTGCGGTTACTACTGAAGTAGTCTATATCCGGCTAGTCGCTATATTTAATTGTATATAGAGAATAATCGCAAAGTAACCACGTATTAGTTATAGCAACCGGACAACCGTAGTGCTAGAAGATATAAGAGCGTGGTATTGCGAAACAAAACTATTCTAATCGAGTAAGAAGTCTTAAGTAATTTGGATATGTGATTCATACACACTGAAATCATGTCTAGAAAATTGCGAGTATCGTGCTGTAGTGTAATATAATCAATAATTGTTTTTAAGAGTACATTAATAAAAATATGGCCACCTGTTTATCTTAAGAATGAGGACGGCATTGTATCAAATAATAAATATTTGTAATATAAATTAAACATCAAATTTGGCCTTATTTTACATAGCTATGATGCCAAATATAAAATTTCTGTCTAAACATATGTTCATATCAGTTTTTAGAGAATTATAAATGATAATATGTTTTCCCGGTAGGAAATATCCTTGACACAAAATGACAAAAGAATATTTTTTATTTTTTTTCCACAAAACATTGTCAAGAGTGACATCAGACATCTATCATTTGTGAAGTTTTACATTATTTGCAGGTTGCACGGTGCAGTTTCGAGGGACGTGTCTTTGCCGCCTGCCGCGTCCCATGAAATCGCACTATTACATCTTAGTTAATTAGTTATAAGCTATTATAACATCAGATCAAATTTGATGGTTTAACTATTTTTTAACCGAATTTTCCGTGTTTTCATTTATATTTTTACTATTGGCATTATTTGATATTGTTATAAATCTTCGCTTTTTAATATAAAAAGGCACGCTTGGATATAATAAGGAACATATGGATATGGAATTAACACAACGTTTTCATAAGAATTTGTTAGATATGAGTTACGAAAAGAGATATATTTTATGTAGTTGCAATACCAAAGCTACATAGGTAAGAGTATTAAATGTTTTTTAATATTAAGAAGAAATTTGTCTCTACGCCCTGTTACGCTCGTGCGTTTTTTTAACGCTTTCAAAACGCTGGTATTTGGACGCTTTTGAAACGCGGGATAAGAAAACGCCCATGTGAATAGGGGCTTAAATGAAAATTGTAATTTCATATTGTCTTGTTGTTTTGCTAGTGATATGTATGGAATTATGTTATTGTCATAAATATTTTATATAACAGACAATATTTTCACGGATATAGTATAAATATGGTCGATTATAAATATAATCTTAAAATATTTTGAATAAAAAATCCGACTGATTAATTTTAAAGAATTAAAACAACATTTTAATTCAAGTCACTTCATTCTCAATTCATGTTGCTTTTATATTAGATTTAATTCATATAGCACATAACGTTCAATTTCCATTATTTCCTGTATTAATGTTAATATTGCCATCTCTATCATTATCTCAAAAAAAGTTGAGATAGCAACAGTGTTACTTCAACTGGCGATAAAATTAAATATGTTTAGAAGTTTAGTTTGAAAGTTACCTTATTACGTTTTTAAATAATTATAAAGAAACATTAAGTACGAACATGTTTATTAACAGGTTTTTCAGAATAAATACATCACGGTTTATTCTAGATATTATAATTATTAATCCTCCAGTAAATAATTAACTACAGCCTGACCAGATTAATTACAAACCTGTGATTGGGGCGCCACCTCTTTCACACATCGCCTTTTGACAAAAAATTAAATTATTCCGTAGCTTGGCGAGATTATTTCCGGTCAGGCTATATAATATTCATATATGACTATAGAAATTACTCGACAAAAAAGGAATACCGTTACCTTCCTACGTTAGGTTTTCACGGCAGACATTTTTGCAATTCGAAATATAACAGGGACTATCCACTGTAAACCTTTCCCTATTCTTCTATTACATTTAAAATGGGATAGCAATAGGTGTGTGAAAATTAGACATGAATCAAGTTATTAAGTGTTGAATAATTTGTAACTTAGCGTCAAAACGTATAAAATAAACTAATTACTAATTGCTTTCACAACACGTTTGATTTTAAATTGACGGTGATATTAAAGAAAAACTAGCTATGCCAGTGACTTCTATGTAAAATTAAAAAAAAAGCCTAGGCAAAAATCTAGGCTGTATTGTGTAAACACTTCGTAATGTAAGCGTCTACTACAGACAGAAGTAACTTTTTTTTTATTTGGATCTTAAGTGTGGTTTTACATACCTTAAATGTCGTTTTAATATTCGGCCGTTCTTTATTATATCACTAGCAATCCATCCGTTGTTACTAAACAGTAATTTACATAATAAACAAAGATACTGAATTAAGTGTTATTTTTTATTACTGTGCCTTATCTAATTTAGACAGTGACAAAGTTAGAAAATCATTAAAACTTAAAAATGAATCAATTATTAAAATATAAAAATATTTCATTTTTTCATTCTATAAAGTGAATTTTACACTCATAATTCAAGTAGCTTAACACCCGCAAAGTATTTGCTAGTTAATTTGTCTTAATAACTTTGTTTGTTATTAAATTTATGTGCACAATTACATTATGTGCTCATAAAAATCTCCGCATCCAAATTATCACCTATCTAAAATTTTGCATTACTTTTACAAAAAATACATCAATTTCGCACGCTTTGGAATTTTTAATTGGAGTGTGAATAGACTCCTTTATATTAAATTCGTATTTTTTAAAATTTAGAAGCGGGGAAACTGTTTAAAGTGAATTAGAGAGCTTTCACACTGGACTGTTTCTATCTGGACTAACAAATCGATAAATTGAAATTAAAAACATACTTTAATATAAAAGTTTAAAGAATAATTTATTTTACCAAAAGTTAACTGTCATAAAACACTTAGGAAAAACTATTTAAATTTCTTAAAGTAGATTATTAGAGTAAAATGTATTATTATCGAGGATTTTAATTCTTTGAGTGAAAAATGATAAAATTCTCTTTGGCATGTATATTAGTCCAGAAAAACATTGATAATGAAAGCGTGAAGGTGAGAATTACATTATTGTGTTTATTGTCATAAAGGATTCAAGTTTTGGTATAGCTCAAAGCGAAGAACTTACTCTAGGAAAATCACTTAAATATTGACTTAAACGTCACAGCACTCATTGTATGTATTCACTATAAGACAGTGCTACATAAAACATCGATAATCAACATCGAGACAATCTCACTGCGCATTTACATTGCGGAAACATGTACAAAATGTCTCATTCATTCTTATAAAAAAGAGATACCAATATGTACAGGTTTCTACAGTGTAAACGCACCTTAACGTACCAAAGTACAAACAAATCTTTACTAAATGTAAAATGCGAGGAACTTAAATGAAACGTAAAACAAATGTACTTTCTCAAGGCACCTCCTAAAATGAGAATCGCTTTCTAGTATTGTAGTAGATTTTGATATAAAATAGAATTTAATAAATCAAGATGATAACAAGAGTTGTTTAGTTAATACCAGAAAGCGATCAATTTCACAAAATACATATTAATCATCAATGGCAAAAGCGGACATTAACCATACGTTTGATTCAATTTATGTTATCCACAAATTAGCTGCATTCATACTCAGTATAACAGATTTAATTACTTTTCATAAACAATCTCTACAAATAACTTCATTCGTATCCTTAGAGAAAATCTAGAATCCTAATTTAAATTTAAGGATACAACATATTATCTTTAAAATGTTTTAAAAACGGATAATGAACTTACTAGTAACCATACATGAATATTCATAGAGACATCAAAAATTGAACCAAACAACGACACATAAATTCACTAAAGATTACACTCGATTACCATAAGTAGCTCCAAAACTCACGCCACATATTGTACTGTAAGAACGTCGAAGCTATAAAAAATAAATGCAATATCAGATAACGCAAATTGTCCTGTCTCACTTGTCGAACTATTTGGGAATTGTTCCCTCGCGCAGGGAACTGGCCCGTGCGGTAAAACTCTTCTAACATTTTGTCCTTCTCTATGAACCTGTCATAGAGCCACTGAGTCATCCCTTCAGTATCGGCTGGAACCTGAGGATAAATATTACTTTAAGTATTTGATTGATTAATTCTTATTCTTTTAATAACGCCCCCTAAAAAGTTCATCGACCATTAAAATTTGATCGCTGGATATTGCAAATCTAAATATTAACATTAGACATTATAAATGTTTTCATGATAACAGAGAAGACTTCGAAATCTATTTGCAATTTAAAAAAAAAAGATACAGGGAAGATATGCAAATCAATGAGATGTAATAGGCTTGTCCATGCCTCAGTTAATTAAGAGTTGACTAAATTTGAGTTCTTACCTCATTACTAGGGTACAATCTGTAGTGCAGGTTTATGGCACAGGGTGGCCGGGTGCCGCACACGATGTCTTGCAAGTGCAGCGGGATCCGGTCAGGATATGCGATGGTCACGTCCAATATCCATTCTATACTATCTCCTGATTTTGTGTCCACTATTATATTATTTAAGTTATTTTGGTTGAAGTTGTTATCTGGAAAGACACAAACGGGATAAGAATCACAAATAAACTTAGGGTTAAATATTACTGCTTTATCTGGATTATTCAAACATTTACCTTTTTTAGAGTTCTCTTTGGATGTGCTAGCTCCTTCATCTCTGCTAGGTCCGATCTCTTCCATAATGACTTTCATCGCACCAGCTCTTGGCAACGAAACATATTCCAATTTTGGTAAATTGTTCTTTTCTGCAAACCTAAAAATACATCATAGTAATGAAAAAATAACCCCATAAGTGATGGACCAATTCCGAGTCAGTTATTGCACTATTTGAACTACATACTTGAATTATGTTACTGATGCCAAAATAAGTCAAATCAGATTACGTAAAATGGGAATTAGCGTCAATTAAATTTAACTTGGCATCTAGACTATGATCCAATTTTGTACATAAAAAACTCATTTTTCGGATACTTTAAGAATTTTTAGTTTTCAAACTTTATTGTTTTCTGAAATATTCCTCGAACTCGAGAAGACTTGTCAAAGTAATGGCTATATATGTTCGTACGCCAGATTCCTCGAACATAAATTCGACTGGGCGCCTTTGAAACTTGTTCTAGCGACTCGAGTTTGTGCTAAACGACTTTGGTCGTTTCGTATCGACCCTTACATGATGTCGAATGTTCAGTCTCGCTTTCGTTTGTAATACATTTATTATTCTTTGAATTTGATTGCCGTATCCATGATAATGTTCCATCATCAACATCATCAGCCCATGTCTCACCTCTACCGGACATTTCTGCGATTTCCATGACAAAGTATGTCACTTTGAAATTTTGGCTCTGCCCTTACATCTTTTTACATCACGCCCATAACTAAAAGTGTTGCACTTCATGCATTGCGCCTATAAAGTTTGAATGTTATTGTATACCTTTGGCTGACCTCCCTCCTCTTATGCAGAAAACCCCCTTCAGGGAAGAGCACCATGAACTGCCTGCCCAGCGGCATATAGTATCTGTGGATGTGTTCTCGGAGCTCTTCTAATGACTGGTCCCTTTTCGCTTTGCCCTGCAACAAGAGATTATTAGCGTTAGATAATCTGTGGCTTTGGTACAAAAATTTACATTCGAATCTAGTCCAATCTTTACTAGATCTTTTATGAATTTGTTGAGATATTAAGCTTATTACGTGAAATGAAACATTTCATTTCTTATAACAATATATCGACGATATTACTTCACTAGCATCATTTCTTATTTGTTACGCAAACATCGGAGCCCCACGTATCAAAGATGCGGGTGCGCTAGCCGTGCAAAATGTGTTAGGAATTAATAGTTCCTACGTCACGCACGACGCGAGGTGCGGGGGAAGCGCGGGGAGTACGGGGGATAGCGGGAACGTGCCCTAATGGATATTACCAGTATAGGTCCGGTGATATCGCAATATTTCCGACCCCCGGAGATTGTAGGAAACGATAAGATTTAGGAAAATATGTTGTACAAACATATGACTACAACTGTTACATTTAAAATTAGGATGTTCGGAAGATAGATGACTTGTGCCTTAAAATTAAGATGTCATCATCATCAGCCTATGGACGTCGACTGCTGAATGTAAGCACCCATCGATTGTCACGATGGCCGTTCCTGTGCCGATCACATCCAGTGCACTCTCGCAACCTTGACCACGTCGTCCATTTAGCAGGAAGCCTACATAGGCTACTGGTATGTATGTACATTGCCACGAACTATCAGTAGAGAACTCCATAAAAGTTTTAAATATTTATCAATTATTTTAAACATAACAGTAACTATGTTCATTATCTCCAGTAAAGTAATGACTTTAATACATTTTGAATGTCTAGTAGTTAAAAGATATAACGTATTTAAATAGTCGACATCTAAAGCGTTACGTTTCGAATGTGAAGAACAAAGCCGAGCTCTCGTAATGAAATTGTTAGAGATTAGCCGCCATTCCGCTGCGGCCGCTCGAGCGCCGGACAAAGGCTCACGAAAATATTTCGAGCCATTCCCACTGGTTTCCTTTACGACTCGAATAACTTCAACCAGAACTATTCAAATTTGGACATTTCACTACTGCTGTGTTACATAGAATTTACAGTTAAACTAGTGTTTTGAAATTGAATTTTTAAAGAAATGACATATATTCAACTTCCACAAAATCATATAACTTTGGATGACAAATAGGAAACTTTTAGACTACATCTTCCTTTACTCAGATACATAACTTATCATGAATATTTTTGGGAACGTTTTCGTAATCATCTAAAAAGTTTATATTAGACTTGTGCAGCGCCCTAAAAGATCGTAACGTACACCAAAAAATCTTATACAAAATCGAGTAGTTGCGATTACGTTCTCGCAACTGTTCACGATAGACCCTCGGATTGCAAGACAACTTTCGTGTCGCTATTTACAAAGTGTGAAACTATCATCGAAACATTTTCAAAAGGTTCCACAACTACGTTCACCCATTATCTTTTCACCGGGAACGGAATAAAGGGAAGCTTTGCAATTCTCAACTCGGCATAACTCAATTTCCTGGTTTTAATTGACGTACACCGTTCCCGCGCTGTTCTTGAGCAAACTTTGAACAAGCGCAGCGAACGTAGGTGTACTACCATAGACTATACCGAACTAGACTCGACTCGGAGCCGATTCGTTTGCTTTTCAACGAGTTAGACTAATTAGTAACTGGCAAATCTCTCGCTTCACAGAGTATGTGGGGAATTGTTTGATAGTTTGTCCCATCTTTGTTACCTTTTGATTTAGTTAAATTTGTGCTCTCAATCATATTTGTTTTAAGGAGTGGATTCAGATATGACGGCTGATAGAGATGTATGGAAGAGCAGCACATACTGTGCCGACCCTCCATAAGGGATAAGGGCAGGTGGATGATGATGAATCATATTTGTTTTAATAATGATTTAAATTTTAGATTTTCATATTTATTGCATTGGCACTGATTTATCATTAAAAAACAAAACACTCACATAAATAATTACTGATACTTATTCGAACGTCAAACGCAACAATATTTAGAAATGATTTCTTTAACAAAAAGGTAGGAACATCCGATGTGCATTCAATTGTAAATACATCGAAACAAATGGGGTCGGAAACAAAATTCCGCCGCGAAACGTTGCCGCAAAACGTTGATCAGGCGCGCGCTGCGTGAAACAAGCGGTAAGCAACAATTGATCGTACATTCTGCAGCTGCGATGGACAGCCTTTACTTGGGTCGACGGCCGAAGATTAAAGGAGCGTAGGTTACCGCGCGCGAGAGCACGATTGTGCGCTTCTCCACTGTATAAACGCATCGACACAAAAATCAACAATATTTTTATTGTTAAAATAATGTGATATTATAAAACATGCTTTTTTTATAAATCGATATTTAAAAAAAACACGTTGTGTTATTTTTCATTTACTAAAATTTTTCTACGAATTACACGAAAATTGAAAAGGTATTCGAGTATCATCTTCTAAACATAACAATTGAGAATTTAACTACTAGCGTTAAAAAAATAATTACTTCAATTAAAAGAACACTCGCCAAAAAAAAAAAAACAATGTATTGTAAAAATTTACACTATTAAAAAACAAATTAAGTAGAATTAATTTATTACTGTTCTTACTGTCAACGATTATTTCAATAATGTGTCGACACCAATGGTAAACCGCCATCCGATCCGTCTTTCGTTAGCGATTTCAAAAGTCCTTCCGATTGCTGGGAACTAGGAACGTCCGCGGGGTCGACGCTCCCGTGGGAAGCGCGGCCGATACCCAACTCTTATACGGATCAATGACTTAGTATCGGATGGATAAAACTTCGAGAACTTTTAACAATTTACTGTCACATATTTGTATAGGATTATATTATCTCTTTCTTTCCTTTTTCTTTTTTTTTTTTGCACTTGCTATATTTCCAGTCTAATAGTTAACGCGTATGATTTTTTTAAATTTATTTCCAATATTTCAATAACAATCAACAGTTAAGGAATGCAATCTATTCTAATATTACAAAGGAGAAAGATTTGTATTTTTGTATGCGTTGATATTACTTAAAAACTACTGGGTCGATTTCAAAAATTCTTTTACTATTTTAATAGTGAAAGAATTTACTACACTGATAAACTACACTGATAATGCTTTAAAAAGCAAGATTATCGGTGAATAACATAGGTTAGATTTTTTATTTCATGTGGGCGAAGCCGCGACCAACAGCCAGTTTATAATATAAATAATAGTTTGTTGGTATGAAACTGATATCTAAATTTTTATACACTTGGTTCGGGACTCTTTTAAAAAAACTGAATTAATTAATGTTAACTTCAATAGAAACTTTACGGTCGCATATGAGCTTTATTAAAAAGCTCCTTTCAGCTTTGTCCGCCTGAGAACATAACGTAAGCCGGCTCGCAGACAGTACTACACAATAGACTACACTGTAATAAAAGTTTCTTTGTGCTCAGATTTTTCGATCCGATTGGAAATTGAATACTTCATGTTAATAGCTTCTATAAGTACACCAATAAAAGGATACATTAATAGTACAAGTAACAAAGTAATAAATATTAAAAAAAAACTTTCTATTAATCAAAAATAAAAATTAAATTAAGAAATTTCGAGTCTACAAAATGATATTAATTACCACCTATTTAATAGACTTCGCATTGGGTAACTCAAGTAGAAGTAAGTTATTAATTTATTTAGTAAAATTTTATAACATAAAATATCTCACAATATTACTAAAACACTTATCAACTAGAACATAAAAGCTTCCAAATAACCTAAACTTTTATCATAAAATCGTCTAATAATCATCGTTATGAACTTTCGTACAGTACTCGTAGAATGAAAAAGTATGAACGATATTCGTTAAAAGTAGAAATAAACGTTAGAAATGTCTGCAAGCTTAACGAGACGGACTATACGAAAAACTTTTGCCTCGTTACCGCTACTAAGCGAAAGATAAGAGAAAAACCTTACGGAAACGTGTACACTGAGTTGCAAAAATAAAGTATACGGTTAAAATAAACAAAAAATAACATTTAATCCAATTCACATATAAACACTAAAATACAATGATTTAGCATTTGTATTTAATCTTGTACATATGTATGCCTTTCATAGTCGATTTTTTTTAAATGATCATGTCATTTCTAAGAGAATGAGATGATGACAAATGTTTTAATCTGTTTCGATATTCCGATAGCGCCAATACCCTTATGGTTAGGAATACGGATTTTTCGGAATTCATTCGACTATTATCGTTAAACATATCTTAGTACAAGCCTTGAACTTAGTTGGAATGGTAAAATAAATATTAGTGAAGTAACAAATATCTATTAATATTTTAACAGTGGCAACTGGCATTAAGACAGATATGACATACTGTAACACTTAACAATATAATTTTACTAAAGATTATTTTTTTCATTACAAAAGATTGAAAAAAAAAACACTATTCAAATCTTAAAAAAATATACTGCAATATAAAAGTTCTAATAAGCGGCACATTTTTATGTCACAGAGTGTATTCTAAAAGTTACTACATATGCTGTTCCCATAGAAAAGCAAGCCTAATTACCTGCGGCCGACTCTCTTCTATTTTTATTTTAATTGCGCGGTGGACTGACCGAAAAAGGAATGACTCACTCGACCCCTTTCCAACCTCTAACTGTACATCATGTGGATTTTACCTAGATATTTTAAAATATAATCCTAACCATATTAATTAAAAAAATAGTTAACTTCGTATCTAAAATAGATATTCCAAAATAGAAGCATGTATTTTGTAATATACTCGTGAAGTTAATAAATACATCAAAGAAACATAAATGATTATATCATCAAAACGTTTACACAGTTACAGCTAAGAGTACAAATTAAAAAAAAACACGACTTTCGCATTCACTTCCCGCATAAAACGTTATGAATATAAAATATCGCATCAAATTTCTGTAGCACCGTAAAACGTACGTTACAGGTGCTTACAATTTATGACCCTTGACAAGTGAAGCACAAAGGAGTTTACAACGTGTTGCCCGTAGAAGCGGGAGT